CAGCCCAACTACCCCGAGTCCGGCAGGCTGTGTCCGAGCCTCATCCCGGTGGATGTGTACACTTTTGGATTGACACCGGACTGCACGGAGCACCCCAGTCCCATGGGCAGTTTTCCACAGCTGCCTGTGGGACAGACGTGAGGACACTGTGGCCATGGGCTGCAGGGGCACTGTGTGTGTGTATGTGTGTGTGTGTGTGTCTGCTACCGGGACTGCCTGCTGCCTTCCCTACACGGATGGGGTACAGATGCCACCGGGTGACTGTGGTGGCTTTTCCCCAGGTGGGATGCCCGGCTTCTGGCTACACCACTCCCAGCCTGCCTTTGCCATGTGTCAGGGCGTCTGCTGCTCTGCCTGTGGGGCTGTAACTGTGGGTGTTACTTGTTGCTGTGTGTGTACACTCTGGGTGACAGTACCATGTGTCAGTGTTTATGTCGTTGTAATTCTGGTGCAGCAGTGTGTGATGTTTCACTGTGCCTGGCTGTTTGGTCACCCTCAGGGGACACCCTCTCCTCCTCAGCCCGTTGCTGGGTTTCTTTGGAAGGGGTAGGTCAGCAGCTGTCTGGCTGACCCCGAACAGATAGATATGGAGGCAGTGCTGTAACACCAAGTCAAGTTGACAGGTGTGTTTGTCTTCCTGGACTGTGGCGTGTGTCTGTGCCGTCTGCCAAACTGCCAGTGGGATCCGTTCTTCCAAACTCAGAGGCATTGGGTGTGGCCACAGGTGACCATGGTGCAGGGGCTCCTGGGTACTGCTGGAGTGGACTTTATAGGCTGTGTCTTATTCTGTAGGCAGGCTCCAGACTGTGCCCACGAGGGCTTAGGTTTTGTGACCTTCATGGTGTGCATATGTGGTGTTGGGCGGTTGTACTAGGGACCCCATGGGGCTTAACAACCCTGGCAGTTGTTTGATTCCTCTTTTTCTCAGAACTCTTGTCTGCAGTGTAGGATGCTGTATTGGGTCTGTAGTGCAGCATGCCTTGATCCTCGCAATGATGCCTGGGATTCTGTGTCTGTTTCCCTGGGCTCCTGGCTGTCCTTGCCCATGCCGGTGTGTCTCCTGGTCTTAGCCAGAAGAATGACTGTGTTTGTCTGTGCAGTTACTGGGGTGCAGGCTGCACAGGTGTGGCTTTGCATATGGGTGAATCTCAGGTACATGGACCTGAGTGTGTGTTGCATGTAACTCAGGACACCAATATGTGTATGTGTGTGTTAGGCTATGTCTCTAAGAATTACTACGCACAGGCTCCATATGGATCACTGCGTGTGTGTGTGTCCGCGTGCATGTGTGCGTGCGTGCGTGCTTGCGTGCGTGCGTGCGTGCGT